TGGTCAACATAAATATCTCTGTAAAGGTACATATATAGCGTGGTGGAAAGATGCAGTTTTGACGATTGAAATGTTGGGTGATTTTATTTTGTGTGTATGTTCGCTGTTTTTGGAGTTACCAAACAACAACTTTTAGAATGACATGCATTGAATCATCCAAAAAATGTTTCAGAAACTACGTACCATTCCTAATTTCTGTTATTCCGGTTACCATTTTTAGGGTTTATAAACATATGGCACTCAATGACCCTCTCCTTTTTCCTCAAGACTTTTGCCACCAATATTTATCTTCTTCTTCTTTTCTTTTGGGTAAAAAAAAAAAAACGGGTTGCCAAATCTCATCTCAGACCACATACATATATATATATATATAGCAGCTGTAATGTTTTACTTGGAAAGGTTAGTTGGTAGGATAATTTATCTTTTCTTCGTCTTCCCCTGGAAAAACAAGTTAAAAACCAACTTACTAGCTAGTAATAATGTTGTTTAGTCATGTGTTATCCTCGTACCAATTCATTAACTATATCCCTTTTAGTTTCCTATTACCGAAAGTCCGAAACCATGTAGTTCCAGATTAAGTACCTAGTACTAATAATGGTCGAACATTTTGCAACAAAATGTAAGATTTGTCTATATTTTTTGTCCAGAAGCAAAGAATCGCTAACAAAATGGAGGGTTAAAATTGATGCATAGTTGATTATATAGAAAATTCCAAGCTGTTGTAGTGGGGTGGAATGGCGTTTTATTCTCAACCCTAGGTTGCGAATTCAAATTTCGTTTATGATATGGAGTAATTTTTTAAATTTTTAGTCATTTGTTCAACTTATCAATGTGTTTATAATTTAGTAAGAATGAATTCGTCAATATTTAAACTGTGGGTATCATGCAATATGCAAATTAAAAATAAAAAAATAAAAAAATCAACGTTTTACATGCACAAAGAGAAGAGGCTACGAGAGTAAGGGAAATTTCTAACATTTCACACAACACAATTGACAGCCTGACATCCCCATTTTTTAAAATCCACACACACACACATGCGCACGATTCAAGACTAGAGTTATGCTTGTAATGGAAATGCAATTTGTCTTAAACTAATTGTGTTGTTAATTTCTGGACATTAATTAATTAGTAATAATATACAAACTAGTTTTTTTTTCCATCATTTCTGAGCAAAGGGTGTGACTTTTAACGAACATATAAAAGTCTCTAAGAATTAAAAAATGTTACTCCCTCGGTTCCAAAATAAGTGTGATTTTAGCGAAATGGAGAAATTTCAAAATAAGTATGGTTCTCACATTTCAATGCACTTTTTGTCCGAAGTTTTCAAAATTACCCTCAAAAGAATTAATAGTATTGGTGGACATTTTTTTAATGGGATTGGGTGAGGATATTTATGTAATTTTATTACTCTATTTAAGAGTTTCTTAAATTATGTGCAAAGTGTCATGTGCAAAGTGTAGAATGACACTTATTTTAGAACGGAGGGAGTGCAGCTTCCAAGTATATGCGTACCTCATGACAGAAACACTAGTACTAGTTATGAAATCCACACAGATTTTTTGATGACTGCACTGCTTATGAAACTAGGTGTTTTAAAGGTACTTTGAAATATTTGTTTATAATTAATTAAATTTAAAGGCCCCCCCTCCCCCCGGTTGTTAGCCCTAACCGTACTTTGCTATACTTAATATATAGAGTCGAAAACCAAATCCTATCTGAGTGAGTGAGGCCTAATATTAAAGCAACATTTCCATAATATAATGAATAGTATGCCCGTAATAAATCTATATTGTCTTTTTTCTTTTTCTTTTTCTTTTTCTTTTTTTTTGGTTCATTCTGTAACGTCTTTTTTCAATGCCCCACTAAATAATTCTCTGAAAACTAATCACATCTACTCCTTGTATGACTACACCCCAAATATCATTAAATCTGTCCACTGGTGCGCTCTTCGTAATGCTTCCAACAACATCGGCCAAATTAAGGTTCTCACTTAGGTTGGATATGTATAGGAATCTCCAACATAAAAAAAAAAAAAAAAAAAAAAAATGTAATAGGCGGGAAAAAAATTTCTCTAATATTTTTTACGTTACTTTCATGTCACGTCATTTATGATTTTTTCAGGTACCATGAAAGAAAAAACTGATGGTTTACAAACAATATCGAGAGCTTAGTCGTCACACGAGTTTAAGACGAGCAATATTCCTAAAAAAATCCGATCTATGTTAAACTGCTTCGACTACGAAAACTACTTTTATGAATAATAATTAGGATTTTTTTTTGTTTTGGTATATCGTCCAAAGCAAAATGTTCCAGATTCAGGTTCATATTCGTCGGAGTTCATTGTATGCCGTTACATTTTTGCGGATGAAAATATTTGAAGGAATTAAACAAGCATTCATGAACCTTTTACGTCTTTATGTCACACGATGCGGTTGAACCTTATATATCCACTCGTTTTCTTCCTGAATTACTAATCTTCTCTCTTTCTTTATTTATTTATTTTTTAAATTTTCTTTTTCCGGGTCCAAATGATTAAAAATAATAATAATAATGTACAATTTATAGGGTTATTATGATATTTACTATCAGATAAACAAGTTTTACACTAAATTAGTTTAAGACTTTAACGAGCTAGTGTGATTGATAATTTCATGTGTTTATTTTGCAGGATACAAGTCATTCTTTATGTATTATACCTTGAATTTAGACTTTTTCCTTAATTTCTTTTACATAGACAAAGAAAGAATAATACATGTGAAATGATGTAAGAGGTGAGATAGGTAGGGTTTTCCATAAGAGGTAGTGATGATGCAAAATATTCTCTGGTAATATATATGCCCCAAAGCTTACTCAGGACAGTGATTCATAATAAATATTGGAAGATCACAAAAAAATCTTTTGAGATTTACTTCACTGAATATCTTATGACTTTGGTAGCATATACAGAATGAAGTTTTCCTTCGCACACGACAATTCTTAGGTGTCTTGTTGTTATGTTTAATCGCACCAAACATCCTCCAATTTCATTTCAAGGATCAATTATATCCTTTAAGTTTCAGGATTTCTAGTTTTGTCCCTACCAGTGATTATTCGGTTTGAATCTGTCCAATTGTCACTTTCATTCCAAATTCTGGACAGTTTTGATAACCACCAATGATATACATTGAAGACTTGGGGGTAGTTGAGTTTCTTTTCTCCCTTCACTAACCCTGGTCTAAAATAAGCGTAACAGGTTTATCCGACATTTGAGATATAACATTAGGGATAAAAAGTTCGCCATACAATTTAATGTTTGATGAAATCGAGCTTTAGAAAATTTGAGGACAGTTGAGATGATTAAAATTCTTTTAGTAATGCCCACAAGAGATTCATGTACACTAAAAACAAATTTCACCAGACTCATTCAAATCTGGTATCACTTTCATGCAAAAGCGCATGGAGATCCCATGGAAATTGACATATTCTGTGCATATCACTATTTTGAAATACATGTGTCCATCTGAAATCAATCAAAGGGGAGTAGGGGTCTGTTCATCACTAATCAAGAGTCTAAATATTCCTTTTCTCTCTTTGTCAAAATGTAAAAAAAGGACAAATGAGAGACTGAAAATTATCAATGCTAATGGTCATTTTCGCTTAATTCAATGGAATTTAAGCTAATTTTAGGTAGTTGATGTTAACTCTAAGCTGTGTGTAATCTTCTCTCTGTTTACTTCTTGAAAGACAGCTGTTTTCACTTGTGTCTTGAAGAAGAATATTATAAGCTCTAACTGTACATCTCTAATCTAAATTTCTTTACTATTTTTTCGAATAATCAACGAGAAAACGCAACTAATTTATTACTAAAAAAAGGGAATTAAGCCCTGGAATTCAAATTCTCAATTATTGATTGTTTAGTGCAACGATTTCCTATTTTTGTGCCCGTGTCATTTGTCAACATTTCTAAATCAATCGAGTTAATCGTATGTCTAATCTCATATTAGTGAAACGAAATTGATTTGTTTACAAATAATTCTTTGTAAGAAAGATAGTCTTTACCTCGAGTTTTAGTAGACACAAGACACAAAACAAGTCAAACAAATTTGTCCAATTAGGTTCCAAGACTCTCTATTTCATTTTACTTCGTGCGTATGTCTCATCAGTGGACCATTGCAAAAAATTGAGTAGGATGAACGAACTACCTACTCTTAATGCACAAAATCTAATCTTAATGAGAGTATGATTTATAACCTTCCGCCCCAAAATATTGATGCATTTCAAAATAAAAATAATAATTCACTTTCAATTTTGAAATTTGTGCTAACTCAAAACAGACTTTTTTTTTTTTGAATAGAGATAATATTTTAGTTCAGCATATACAACTTTTTGAGATGAAAGAAAAAATGGTAAAAAGAGTAGACGTTATAATAAAAGTTATAATTTCGTCAAATATTCATTACATTTCACTAAAGAAACACGACTAGAACACAATAAATCGTGAATCCACTGGGATCGGAACGCAAATGGTCAACATTAATTCTTCTAAGATTATGTATTAGAAGAAGCGCGTCGAGGGGCGCCTAACTTATTACTCCCAAAGTTTATGTTACGTTTGGAGAATGTATCCATTCCGATGTGTATACAAACAATAATTAGTTGTACCATAAAACTTTTGATCTCACAAAATATATGCACTATTTATTAAATATTAAATAGTTCTGGTTTGCAGTTGAAACAAACCATTGAAAGTAACCTTGAACAATTTTATTATTATTATTATTTTTGTCTTTTAATAGCCCCTTTTTAAATTATTCATTTGAACAAATTCTTTGAAGGTGTATTTAATAGAAGATTTGAAAACATTAAATAACCCAACTGATTTGACAAATTCCTTATTACCAAAGAGTTGAATTTTTTTTACATGCATAATATATATTGTGTAAATGTAATGGCAACTTTGGGAAATGACCTGTATTTGGTCAATTTTTTTGGGTTTTTATAAAGGATGGGGAGGCAAAGATTTTATTGCAGCATAAATAAGAAGGAAAGGCCAAAAACAACCTCTTCAGTTCCTTAGAAATCACGTTTCTTTCTCTCCCAATTAGCACTATTTATTGTCCTCTTCTCTTCACTCTGTTTTTTTTTTCTTCTTAGCAATCCTTCCTCTCTCTCAAAACCTATCTCAATCCTTCAAAGTCTGTTTTCAGTGGCTTTTCTTTCTCTTTTTTACCCATCTTTTTCCATTTCTTCTGACCTCCTTCAGCTCTATCCTTTTTTTCTGCACTTTTTGAATTTTAAGGGTTTTGGTGAATTGGATATACAGAATTTTTAGCTTAGAAGCAGAGGAAAAGAGAACCCTTTTTTTTTCCCCCCCCTCTAATTCTCTTGTTGACAGAATCAGATTTTGCGAAATGGAAAATTATTGTGGTCTGGTTAAGGAAGATGATCAGCAGCTCCACCTGCCACCGGGATTCCGATTTCACCCGACGGATGAAGAGCTGATTACTCATTATTTGTCCAAAAAAGTCATTGACAACAATTTCTCTGCAATTGCGATTGGTGAGGTGGATATGAACAAGGTTGAGCCTTGGGATTTACCATGTAAGCTTCCATTTCAAAATCATCTTCTGGGCTTGATTTTTTTTTTCCTTTTTTTTTTTATTTCTGATTTTGTGGTTTCATTGTTTTCTTCTTTTTTTTTCAATCAGGGAAAGCTAAAATGGGGGAGAAAGAATGGTACTTTTTCTGTGTAAGAGACAAGAAATACCCAACTGGACTCAGGACAAACAGGGCAACTGTGGCAGGGTACTGGAAAGCAACAGGAAAAGACAAGGAGATTTTCAGAGGCAAATCACTGGTTGGAATGAAGAAAACCTTGGTGTTTTACAAAGGAAGAGCACCAAAAGGAGAGAAAACCAATTGGGTCACTCATGAATTCAGGTTGGAAGGCCAATTCTCCCTTCAAAATCTCCCCAAAAATGCAAAGGTAAAAGATACAGATACAGTTAATTAACCTTCTGATTTCCTCTGTTTTATTCTTCAAAAAAAATGATCTTTTTCTTTTCTTTGATGCAAAAGACTAATGGGAATTTTGGGTTTTTTTTTTCCCCCTTTCTGCAGAATGAGTGGGTGATTTGCAGGGTGTTTCAGAAAACTGTTGGAGGGAAGAAAATTCATATATCAGGAATAATGAGGAGCAATGAAACTGACATGGGTTCTTCATCACTGCTGCCGCCATTGATGGATTCTTCTCCTTCTCCCTACATTGGCTCGTCAAAGCAGAATTTCTTACCAGGATCCAGCAACGTGTCCTGCTTCTCCAACGCCCCTCAAAAGGGTCCAGAAGATCTGTTCATGAATTACTTCATAAATCCTTCTTTCCCAAATTCTTCCAACCCAATGGATGTTTTCACCAGAGGGTCTATTTCAAATGCATTTCCATGGGGTCAGGTTGGTCCAGCTCAAGGGAATTACCAGTTTCCGGGTACAATTCAGAGTCAGGATTCTTCGATTTTGAGGACTTTGCTTGAGAATTGTGGGCAACCCATGATGATGATGAAACAGAGTTTCAAAACAGAGCCGGAAAGGATTATTAGTACTGTCTCACAGGAAACTGGATTGAGCACTGAATTGAACACTGAGATTTCTTCGGTTGTTTCTAATCTGGAAATGGGTAGAAAATCATCATCTGGTGAAGATCATGAGGCACCGTCAACCTCAGTTGGGGCTCAAGACATTGATTGTCTCTGGAATTATTGAAATTCTTGACTTTGAAAAATACCCAAAAAAAAATTAATAAGGAAAAAGAAAAAAAGAGGGGGGGATGTAATAACTATATCTAAGAAAAGAGGGGAGAAAAACAAATATTCAGCTGGATAGAAAGTAGGATAGTATTTTTGGTATAATTATTATTGTTGGATTGTTGTTGTTATTAATTATCATAAGTACTATTATTGTTGTGTGTTAATATCAAAAAAAAAAAAACATTATTTGATGTTTTATCTCTAATTCATTCTTTTTTTCTTTTTTTAATTTTTTTTCTTTCTATTTTGTGGTGGTTAATTTGTGAGATCATGTAGGATACAAGTTGGTATTAACTAATTTGTTTTTCCCTATGTTTGAAATCTTCATTCATTTTTCTTTGTATTATAGTGGATGTATCATCCACATAATATGACATCATCTAAACATTTTTTTTATGAATTATGTTCATTTAAGTTGTGTTATTAAAAAATGTTTTGGGGGGACTAAGGATGGAGCCATGAATGATGGACCCTTACTATCATCATAAATTGATGTGTATATGTTAATATTGTAAGTTAATTTTATTAGATTTGGGCCACAAGAAAATTCTTTATGCGAGATTTAGATAGCATTTGGTCATCATTTAGTTAGAGGATTTAGGTAGAAAAATATTGCAATTATTGTGTGGCTTTACACTTGACCTCCTTCTACTATCAATGAATCTAATTATGTGACACAATGTTTACTGATTAGAATAATTTATCCCCTTAAGCCTTAAGTAGCACCTTCTTTTTCCCACATTCATTGCCACCTTCTCACCACAATATTTTGACTAAATGGACTAATCCATTTTTATTAGAGATAAATAGAGGGAAAAAAATCTACAAAGATTTAAGTTACACCTAGAAGATTAATTGCTAAAGTTGATGTACAATGTACTATAGATGGAAGATTATGAACTTAGTGACAAATGTATGAATTAATTAATTGAGGCAATTTCATGTTGCTTCCGTGCTATGTCAAATCTTTTTGCTGGACTTATGTGCAATTATATTATGTGCAATGATTCATACAAGATCAATAACATGAACAAGTATATAGAGTTAGCAAATTAGAAGAGAATGTCAAAGTATCTTCTTTAAATAAATAAAAAAAGAGTATGAATAATAGTTTTAATGTTTTGGAAAAACAAAAATTACATATGTCAAGTATGGCACATGAGGTATGAGCACAAAATAATGTTAATGATTAAAGAAACTAAGGGCATATTAACATTTCCGACGGCAACATAAATTTATTTTTACACGGAGAATGACTCTCATATGACGAAAAATGTTATAGTAATACGGTATAAACATCTTTTATCAAAGGAAATATACTATTACACGTGGATGACGATAACATTTTTTTTTATTATTGTGACAATATATTCTATTCGACGTCTTGTATTGATATTAATAGTCATTTAATAAGAAAAATTTAAGACGGTTGAAAATTTAATAAAGAAATTTAAGACGGTTTGAAAATTTCATTTCAATGTATACAAAGCAAACTAATTTGAAGAAATAATCTTTCCTGATAACATTGCATTTCCTACAATTAGAAAAAAAAAAAGGAAGAAGAAAAAAACTTTTAATTTCATATACTCTATATTGGGGCATCGACAAAATTTTGAATTCTTTATCTACTTTTAGAAAATAATTATAGTCTTTGGGGGCTTTATCACAATTGGCCCAAAATTTCGTCATCCTTATCATTCATAAATCTATTTCCAGCTGGACAAATTGTTATTGGCGAATAGGAGAGCGGAGAGCGTACTGACTCTGCACTGATCCGCTTTCCCATTCGTGCAACAATAAACATTAGTAAACCAGGAGAAGAATATTATTAAGCCAAATGAATATATTTTCCATGGATTGAGTAAGATAATTAAGTTTATACGAACCAAATTAACTTGTGTGTGCTATGTATATGTTTAAAATTATCTCATACTCCCTCCGTCCCATAATTATTGTCCAGTTTTAGTAAAATAAAAGATTTTATTTTTGGTCAAACTTAACTATATTTTACCTTTAAATAACCGGATATACCCCTACATAAGTAATTGTTTAACCACTAAGATTTTATAGATAATATTTTTTACTAAGTACAAATGTGTAACTTGATCCATAAAAATTCAAATTGGACAATAATTTTGGGACAAAATTTTTTAGGCAAAGTGGACAATAATTATGGGACGGAGGGAGTAATATTCTTTAACGAAAATCAGATGTACTTCCCAAGATTCAATCACTACTCTAATGTCCACACAACTTTACATATAAATAAAAACCCACCAATATTTTAAAAAAAAAATTAAGAAATCAAGAATTCTAGCTAGTTTAATTAGTCTTAACTTAATAATATGTTTCATATTGACATCTTGACATGTAAAAGGTTTGTCTTTAGTCTTCATAATCTATTGATGTCTTCCTTGGCCTGCAATTAATATTCTTCTAATAATTCAACAATTAATTCCAGAAATTACAAGTCAAGATTTCAACTTTCACGCATAATTTGTTCTTTACATTGGGTAAAGTTGAATGTATATATATAGGTTCATCAAATAGAACCCGAACGATCTCCCACTGGGTTTGCTATTCTCATAGAAGCTGACGTACCATTCTGTTTGGGTAGGGCGGAACTCTTAAAGGACTCGGGGTATCGAGCCTCTCCGGCCGATCGAAAAGTCCTTTAAGAATAGTTACGGTTAACCTTACGCCATATATATTCAATCATCGATTTTGATAATGAATATATAGTCAACCCCTTCAATTCTGAGTAGTTGATTCCGCCACTGTGTTTCGGTGATGATATTAATAACAAAAACATATTTCAAACTAAGATAAGTGTAAACAAATGTAACGTAAAAACTATCACACAAAAGTTTGATCCATGCATGTTCAATGTGTTACTTAATTATTCAAATAAGGTAAAAATGCAGAGTTAAAGTTGAACACGAACTGGAATTTCAAGTAGAAATAGAACCAGCAAATATAAATTTTGCTTCGAGACACAGAAAATACTAATGGAAAGTCATCATAGTTAACTTTCTAATTAATCATCACCGTTCTCATTAACCGTTTTATCAATGTTTTCTGGTTTTAGTACGTGTCTTGTCAATTTCTCATCATCACATAGTATTTCGTTTTGTTTTTCTATGCACCTTTTTTAATCCAGTTCCCATCCCTGACCTTTTTTTCATCCTATTTTCTTTTTTTAAAAAAATGTATTTTCTTATATCCAAAATAATTATCAACAAACTAGACAATACTGTGTATTATCTTGCAATGAGAAGAATATCTCTTATAAGTTTCTCTCTCATTATTTCAATATTCTCCAACGATTTTGTTTCTTCGTCATTGTAACATGAACATACGCATAAATGCATGATATTTAGGAATTGAATGATAGCCTAGTGGTTAGGTTGTTGTCCTTCCTGGTAATAAACAGACCAGGGTTCGATTCCCACCAGGGATTGTAAGGAGGGTTTTAAATACAACTTATAATACATCACTTTATTGTGTTTATTGTGGATAAACCTATACAGATCTACCTATATAATTGACGGACATATCACATATCAGAGTATGAATCCGATCTCGAATATATCTTTAAAATTTTTTTAAAAACTCCAAACTACATATCTAAATATTAGATCTGCGGTGACTGATTCTTCATGGGACATATGCAACGTTGCGAACATCTTCAACGCCGCTACGAACACTGCAAAACAGGCCTACCTCTCAGTGGAGCAATCTACTAAAGAAACATTGTGAACTAGAAAATCCTACCCTCTCAAAAAATTATCTAAATAATCTATTGAATGAACTAATTTGTAAGAATAAACTCACTTATTAAATGATAAAGAACAAAACAAAAAACGATTAAACAAGTTTAATTCCCCACCTTTCCATGATGGGGGAAGAAATTTTTTTTGGAGTTGGAGTTTGAGAGAGAAGGGGGGAGAGGGGCGGCTGCTAGGTTTTACCCACATTTAAGTGGGTCCACTGTAGTTGATTTTTTTAAAAAAAATGCATGATATCGTCTCAAACAAAGGTACAAACTAACAAAACCCTAATCATTAGGAGTATGGATTACTACATCGGACGTTACATTTGAACAACTTAGAATAGGGAAATTGTATTGGATTCATAATCATGTTATGTACAATATACAGACTATATATAGACAATAACAAACCCTAAACAAGGACATTATAGGAAATATACTAAATATTACAATACGCCCCCGCAAACTTACGGCGGAGAAGAGAGAAGCTGAAGTTTGTCCCGAAATCGAAAGAATAATTCTTTGGACAAGAGTTTTGTCAGAATATCAGCAAGCTGATCAGCAGCAGAGATAGACTTAACCGAAACAACTTTCGCCGAACATGATCTCGAACAAAGTGAAAATCAACCTCAACATGTCTGGTACGAGCATGGAACACAGGATTGACAGCAAGGAAAACTGCACTACTATTGTCACACCAAATAGAGGGAGGGCGATGTAAAGAAACGCCTAACTCGGACAACAGATGACACACCCAATGCAGTTCAACACAGACATTAGCAACTGCACGAAACTCAGCCTCAGTAGACGATCGAGCCACAGTGCGCTGCTTCCGAGATGCCCAGGCAAGGAGATTAGGTCCCAAATAAATGAGAAAACTAGTAGTAGAACGACGATCATCCGGACAACCAGCCTAGTCAGCATCACTAAAGGTAGTAAGAGTGCCCAAATCTGTAGGATGCAGAACTAAACAGAAATCAACGGTACCACGAAGATAGCAAAGAACCCGTTTCAGAGCCTGAAAGTGAGAAGTGCGAGGCTGATGCATGAACTGACAAAGCTTATTAACCGCAAAGGAGATATCTGGACGAGTAAGAGTGGTATACTGCAGACTGCCACACAACCGGCGATAAGTAGTCGCATCATCAGGAGACAACAGAGTACCATCCAAACGGGACAACACAACATTAGCCTGCAAAGGAGTGGAA